GCTCAAGTTACTTGAAGTGGTAAATCTTAGACTGTTAAAACCCAGATTTTCTAACTCCTTTGTCAAAACAGTAAGATCCTCGTACTAGACTCTTTAAAGAATCCTGTAGAGTATTTTAATTTAGAATTTATTTTGGACATAGTTTTTAAAAAATTTTATTATTTAATTCTAACTTGTTGAAAACAAAAATGATCAATTTAGAACTATTTGTTAGTGCTAGTCAAATTGCTAGCAGCAATGAGTGATAGACACCAACAAAGGATGGTGGAGAAAAACTGGAGCAAACAAATCAAAAAGCATTGGGTCTGGTGTCACTTTGGCAAAGGATGTAAAGCCTCATACGTTTTAGTAGATTCCAAGTATTCTCTTTATTACAACATCATAAAATAATTCCCTTGGAATAATTCATTTGGAAAAATTTATGTGAAGGAAGTTGCATTAAAAATGTTTGATGGCTGGGGCACCTGGGTGGCTCAGTCGTTAAGCGTCTGCCTTCGGCTCAGGTCATGATCCCAGGGTCCTGGGATCGAGCCCTGCATCGGGCTCCCTGCTCGGCGGGAAGCCTACTTCTCCTTCTCCCACTCCCCCTGCTTGTGTTCCCTCTCTCGCTGTGTCTCTCTCTGTCAAATAAATAAATAAAATCTTTAAAAAAAAAAATAAAAATAGGGCGCCTGGGTGGCTCATTTGGTTAAGCGACTGCCTTCGGCTCAGGTCATGATCCTGGAGTCCTGGGATCGAGTCCCGCATTGGGCTCCCTGCTCGGCAGGGAGTCTGCTTCTCCCTCTGACCCTCCCCCCCCTCATGTGCTCTCTCTCTCATTCTTTCTCTCAAAAAAAAAAAAATCTTTAAAAAAAATAAAAATAATAAAAATAAAAAAATGTTTGCTGGCTGCATTTGGAAAATTAACAGATATTAACTTAATTCTCTATGATCTTGGATAAATGAGGCATTGCTATGTTAACCTCTTACGCTTCTAAGATTTGTGCTAACGCTATTTTATACTGGTCTAATCACTGCTAACTTTATTAGACTTACTAGTCTTACAGTATACTAATCAGTTAACTTTGATCTGATTTCATTGAAATTCACCACTCTAAATTATTTACAACAGCTTTTGTTTCTGACCCTCTTAAGTATCAGAGTCCCTGTCTCTGGTACAGAAATAATATCTAGCCCTGACTGTGACAAAGGGCAGAGAGGCAGCACTTGAAGGTACTGATCATTATAGAGGGAGTTAAGAGGTAATACACTTGGGATGACCATTGAGACCTGAAAGTCTGAAACAAGCAGACAGGAACCTTCTACAGGGGTAAGAAAAACAAAACTTGTGATCTCTCAGAGGCAGATATGATGCTTTTTTCTGCTCCCTTTCCTCTTTCTTTGTCCTGAGAAGGAGTTGTCCTCTTTTTCCCATAAGATTTCACTTTTGGCTTGCTTCCCTATTATCTTCATTACAGTGCACTGCACCTGCTATGAGGGTAACTTGATTTTAATGAGATTTAATTGATAACCAAATACTGAAAATGAGTAAACATATTAGGAAATAAGTCCTGGATGCAGTGTGATATGTGATCTGTGAATAGGGAGAAATACTGTGTTGAATATGTGTAGAAGTGCTTTGCTCTCTTGCTCTACAATCAGTGCTTAATTATTCATCATTCTTGAGGAATTTCTATTAATTTGGCATCTTTGAACCCTAGTGGTATGGTATATTGAATGTTTATAATGTTAATCTCAAATCCTTACAGGGCTTTCAAATTAAGGAGCAATTAAACTGATATCTTTTAATGATGAGACTATCTTACTGAATTGTAGTTCTTTGAAAGCTGGTAGTTTTAGGTAGGTTAACACCAGAATATTAGGTTTCTGATAATACTTGTAACCATGCTGTATAATATATATTTTTTTAAAGATTTTATTTATTTATTTGAGAGAAAGAATGAGAGAGAGAGAGCGCATGAGAGGGGAGAGGGTCAGAGGGAGAAGCAGACTCCCTGCCGAGCAGGGAGCCCGATGCGGTACTCGATCCTGGGACTCCAGGATCATGACCTGAGCCGAAGGCAGTCACCTAACCAACTGAGCCACCCAGGCGCCCTGTATAATATATTTTTATGTATTTCTTAGGTCTTTTAGCAGTAATTTGAAAAGAACTTACTTGCTTTAAAAAAATTCGTCTTTTTATTTCATAAGTATAAAGTGGAAAAAAGAATATAAAATACATACAGGTGATAGTGATATATAAATGATGTATACCTATGTATTAAAATTAGAAAACTGTGAACAGATGTTCAGAGTAATAACCTCTGTATGGTAGGATTGTGGGCAGTTTTCTTTGTGCTTTTCTGTACTTTCTAGTTTTTCTAAGGTTAAGATACATTATTTTTATAGGACAAAGGTAAGAACAAAATATTCTTATATTTGGACAACTGAGTCTATGATAAGACTGTTTTGTTCTTAATTATCACGTGTTAGGAAGGTACTTTCCTTTATGGGTGAATTTTACTTAAATGTGAAAGTTTGCTGTTTTGGAGAGGTAATCTTCATTGCTGCTCAGGAAACCATCCCATCCCCCTGAGGGCTCCTTGTTTGTCTGATGAGGTTTGTAGTTAAAGGAGAGTTTTATTTTTTAAAAGTTCTTTTTGGGGAGCCTGGGTGGCTCGGTTAAGTGTCTGACTCTTGATCTCAGCTCAGGTTTTGGTCTCAGGGTCGTGAGTTCAGGCTCCTCATTGGCCTCCACGCTGGGCCTGGCGCCTACTTAAAAAAAAATGATAGAAATCCTTCCTTTTTCTAAGCAGCATTAACCTCAGAAAGTCCTCATTTTTCATTGTTCTTTCCCTTCTCCTTCACCCATGTTTTCATATCTTGACTTCAAACACATGCATGTACTCTTAGGAAATGTTTATTTCACATAAAAATAAAGCTTCATTGTGAGTACAGGTTGTTTCATTAATTAAGAGTTGTTACTAAAAATTTGAATGTGGTCATAGTTTTAAAATAGGCCATTTTGTGGTGAATAGAGGTTGACATTGGTAGTTTGTGGGAATTTGTGAATTATTTGTGTAAATTTTTATAGTTAATTATTTGTAAGAATGATAAATTTGTGTTTAATGAGAGCTTCTGGGTTCATAATGTTCTCTATTCACCGAAGTCTTATTTAGAAAGGATGAGAGAAAAACCAAGGTTAAAAGACATAAAATATGGGATGCTATAAAATGTTTCCAGAATCAGAGGATCTTGTAATACATTATGTTAGATCTCTGTGTGCTAACTTTTTGCTTTGAATTTTATTAATTTGGATTTAATACCTACTTTCTCCACTAAAGCCTAGGTATATTTAAAAACTACGTTCATAGTTGGTCCCAGTGTTATTTAAATGTATCTGTGAAGTTTCGATTGTTGGCACTTTAATCGTTAATCACCATTTCAAAAGAAAGCTATTTTTTAAAATACAATATTCTTAACTAAAAAAAAAGATGAAGGGATTGTACTAACGAGTTTCTAAGATTCTGTTAATGTGTAAAATGAATTGAGTATACAACAGACTGTTTTCTCTATAAGAGGCTCTTCAGTGCTTGGTTTCTCAGACCAGATTTCTTCCTCCATGTGCCTGGGGCCATGCAAAGGTCGTTAAACTTGTACAATTCTCTTGTTGATTTGGGGACATTTTTGTATTAAAAGAAATGTATATTTTAAAGTAAAGTTACAAAGAGTGTGTGTGTGAGTGTGTGTGTGAGTTTCTGTGTTTATGTGTGTGTGTTTAAACTAAACCAGGAATATTAAGAGTACTTTTACTGTTGTTGAAGGCAGCTTGGTCTGTACTCCCAGATTCCTGAAGGAATTTGTATGTATTCTCTATTGTTAGGGCTTCCTGGTGTGGCAAAGTCTAAGAAAATGCTTGAATGTATGGGCTGGTATGTCATTTATACAGCCATGCTTATTTTAATTGAGATTAAGAGGCAAATATGAATTTAATTCTTTTTTTACAGTTTTTAGAGGAAAGATTTCAGACATATGCAATAATAGACATATAGTATATTGGCCATCCATGTAACCATCATTCAGCTTCAGCAAATATCAACTCATGCCATTCTTTAGGAATTTAATTTTATGTATATTTGCTCAGATTTGCCAAGATAAGCATCTGTAAGGTCAAGGTACTGACATCAGAAGCATTTCTGAACAAAGATGTTGCAGTTGGTGGGTGGGTATGACTGTTCAGCTGTTGTATAAGCTTGCATAAATAGTATCATCTTGACTTTAATCTTTCGGTTGTTCAGAGGTAGTGTGCATATTTCTGTTTAACCCCTGGAAACTTGCCAAAATAATTTGTATCCTCTCCATCCTTGGCACCTTGACTCTAAATAATCTATAAGTAATAGCAGTAAGTTGATGTTAGGAGCCTGTTGGATAGAACCATTAAGAAGGAAGGAAAATCTTCATTTTCAATTTAAAAAACTTTTGAGAATTACCTCGCTAATGTTTTGGATGCTATATATAATTTGTTTCACTTTTCATCTGCTTTCGAAATACACTTTATAAACATGAGAACATAGAGTCAGTCAGACAGACCTGAGTTCAGCTCTCAGCTGGCCTGAATTACTTACCCTCTCCAAATATCACTTGTTCAAATGTAAAATGGGGATATGGATTGTTCTGTGAAGTAAATGAAATAATACATTCAACATTGGTTATCTTGAAATGTTGTTTGCACTCTATGATTGAATAGATGCATGTCCTGAGTTCAAGTCAGTTGGATTTGTATAGCTGAAATTGAGGAAGTACTATTTGTAAATACTAGGCTACTTAGAAAGGAGAGCTAATCTTTACTTTGTCATATCTAGTTTTCTGACTGGTAGGTATAAGATCTAAAGGTATAACGGAAGATCTAAAGATGTAATGGAAGATCTAAGGATAGAAAATGTTCTTTGAACAAATACTGTATTGAAACAAAGCATTGGAAAAAACATGCCTTACAGTTGTTTCTTATGAAATAATTACAGCAAACCCTGGCCTGTTCTATTCTAACTGCACTATTGAGTGAATTCTCAAGTTCAAGTAAAACTAGCAACATTGGACTCAGTATGGAATTCCATGGTAACTGCAAAAGAGTTTTTCAGGTATTGGTTTTTTTATGTTTTATTAGATTGTTCACTTTTTACACAATCTGTTCCTAATGGAGTGAGAACATTTATTTTATCTAGCTGAATGTGACCTGTACTTGAAGATTTGTGTTGTGATTTCATAGCATTTAGTAAAGGATAAAAGATAGGATAGGATAAAGATTTGGTGAACATAGCTGACAGTTTTAGCTTTCTTGTTTAATTCTAGTCTTCAAACAAAAAGGAAATACCACTCCAAAGATCCTTAGATTATTTATTTTGTTCTTATTGCGTTTAGATGTAACTAATTCAATTGGTGGGACTTTGCTGGCCTTAAAATAGGCCTGGCAGAATGCCAACGAGGGCCATGTATTTAAAATGTTATTGCAGATGGTGTGGGCTCTTTGTCTCATATGTATTGTTTGGCTCTGAAGTAAAGTTATGTGAAGGCATTGGCTTAAATCCGAGGGCTCTGCACTAAAGCAACTGACTCCTCCAGCTCTGTAGTAGTTGTCAAAGACTCAACTTCTTTACGGAGTAGCATTTATATTACAGTAGATGCATTCAAACTGGTGTCACTTGAAAGCATACTTGTGATATAAATTATGAGCAGGCCTAAAAATGGAAAATGTTCTTAAAGAGGTAGTGTTTTTCCATTGAATATTTTAAGGTTTTTGTTTCATTTTATGGTTCTTAAATGGGAATACATTTTGAATAAGCTTTTGATTGAAAAATATGTGTGATTTATTTATTACAGGAAGAAGACCTTCGTCAGATCTTCATGTTAACGGTTGAAGTTCTTCAGGAGTTCAGCAGGCGGGAAAACCTCAATGCTCAGATGTCTTCGGTATTTCAGCGTTACCTTGCACTCGCCAATCAAGTCTTGAGCTGGAACTTTCTTCCTCCAAATTATATCCTTTTAACAACTGAAGAGTTTATTTGTGGTAATTTTCATAGATGACTTAATTATGGCTAAAAGTACTTCATCTCTGCAGGTTTGTGAAGCATGTTGTTGAAAGAAAATAAGTTTTTTTAGAAATGGAATTTAATGTTTTTTTCATTTTATAATACACAATGCAGTGGACTAACAGGATTTAAAATTTCATTTACAACCTTGTAGAAGAGAGTCAAATAAACGGAAGCATTTAGTGGATAAGGGGGCTATTGCTAACTAAGGAATAGCAGTGTTCCTTAGGAAGGAAAAGGAAGAAGGTAGGAAGTGAATTCAAGAAACTGAATCATTTCCTCCATGTGACATGTGATTACATTGGATTTTTTGGCTGACTTTCCTTAAGACTAATTTGGCATTCTCTAATTTGATCTTTATGGATGCAGATACTGTTCAAGTGTAGATAGTAAGGTAGTAGTATGTTTATTCTTTGAAGACCTTTTTTAATATAAAAATATAAAACTTTTATTTCTAGCTAATTAGCTTATACAAAATAAGTTTAAGTGGGTTATATTGTAGGTACAAATGTCTGCTTTTTATAAATCAGTTATTAAAGTTGAAAAATTTGTATTTCTTAGTTTAAGGTTTATGATTTGCTTTCTAGAACATTTGCTGCCTATTGATAGATTGAAAGCAGTACTATCTAGTGTCTCTTCATCTTTATCATAGTTGAATCAGACAAATCTAGGTTCAATTCTTAGCTGATGTTAGGCAGATTACTTAACCTCACTGAGTCTCAGTTTTTCCAAATATAAAATGGGGATATGGATTGTTGAGTGAATTAAATGTAGCAGTACATTTAAAACACTCAGGAGTTAGCTACTATTTATTGAACTTTTAATAGTTTACTTGAATAAAGAAGCTCATCAGCTGTCTGTGTTATGCTTTTTTCTTGATCTAATATATAGGAAATTTAATTTCACTTGTTGTACATGTCTTTAATCAGTCTTTTCTTGGGGGCCTGGGTCTGGGGGGTTAGGGAGTCTATTTAGGAGAAAAAGACAGATGACAAGCATATAGGAAATACATATTCAGCCATACCAGAGATTTAAGATGAGACTCATCTTTGCTTCAACACAGCCAAGGGTTGCTACGTTCACATACTAGAAATTACCTACTGTTTTTGGCTGGTAAAATTGTGGGATTTTAAAGGGGCTGAGTGGGGTTAGGTACAATGTTTTCTTCCATTTTCAAGTTAATACACTCATGTAGTAGAAAACTGTGAAAAGCTGTACAGGGTATTGAGTCTCTGACTCAGTTGAGTTCTCCAGTTTTCTTTCCCCAAGGCAGTCATGGTGAGCTGCTGCTCTGTGGGGCAGAGCTTACAGGGATGTTAATCACTTTCTGCTTTTATCCTTGCTCTCTGATCATCTTTCTACTCGTTACTAATTTTATGTCTTCAGTATATTCTCTTTGGTTGTTAAAAGGCACATATTTTCTTAGGTTTGCTTTTTAAAAAATTTCCCCTTTGAGTGTTGCAATATAATTTTTGCTCCAGTTTTTGTTAGTAAAAAGATGTTGAAAAACTTTGAGACAGATTTAAAAAGTAGCAGGCCATATGGAGTTATCAAAACATTAATTACATATGTAGGGAAAATCAACAAAAGTTACACTGCATATATTGGAGCCAATTTTAAAGTCTCTGTTTTAGGGGGAAATGTAGTTGGCTGAAGAGTGACTGTTTTGTAAAGGGAAACAGTGCTGTGGGAGTTTGGAAACAAAGTTTGTCTAAAGATACACACACATAAAATATTTTCACAAAGTATTTAGATAAAGCTTTGGAAAACCTGTCATTTGCAGGCTACAGTGTTCCCAAAGGAAATAATTCCTTGTTTAAAGAAAAGTAGATCTTGATCTTGACCTTCAGATACTCTACTTCATGACTTACAGATGAATTCATATCTAACCATAGATGTTTGCATAGTAGCCATTTGTTGGCCCCCTGAACTCCAGTGAAGTACTCCTTCCTTTAAGTGGATTAGCTTTAAATGTAGGAGAAAGAGCATGGCAATGGAATTAAACTAAGCTACACTTTTAGTGCTAATTAAGGGAGTCAGTTTCAAGGAACCCGATTCTGATATAATTTCTAGTTTTGGCAATTCTTTGGTGATCTATTTAATCATTGGGAAGGGAATTGGATAATTATTTAGCTTTGTACCTTGAAGAGAGCCTACAGATCAAATTTAACTTAGTTAATATAAAGTGCTTGGCTTTTTAAAAAATGATTTATCTTTTAAGTTAGAAGAATAGCTAGTAGACCTTGTAGAATGTGTGTTTTGTGTCAAATATAGTGGATCATTTAGAATGGTATCATGTTAAATGAGGCTGTGTTAAATTGCCAGTATTAGTCCCTAGTCATAATTTTTTGTAATGTGCTTTCTATTTTGCATCTTTTTATTTTGATGTAATTTTAAACATACAGAGATACTACAAGAGTAATTCAAAGAACTGGGCGGATGTCCTAATACCAAGATTCACCAGTTGAAAACATTTTGTCCTTTCTTTTTCTTTTTTTTTCTTTCTGTCTCTACATACACATAATTTTCTGTTGTAAGGATATACCAGATTTCTAGTTATTCATGGATCAATTGATTCATTGTAAGTTCATGTTTGGACTTATATTTTCATTTCTCTGGGATATACCTAGGAGTAGAATTGCTGGATCATGTGGAAACTCTGTGTTTAATCTTTTGAGGAGTTGCCAACCTGTTTTCTAAAGTAGCTGTACCATTTTACATTCCCACCAACATTATATGAGGTTTCCAATTTCTCCACATCCTGGCCAACACTTGTTATTTGTCTGTTTATAGCCATCCTATTTCATTTGAAGTGGTATCTCATTGTGATTTTGATTTGCATTATCTTGATGGTTAATGTAGTAAACATCTTTTTATGTGGTTGTGGGCCATTTATGTATCTTCTTTGGAAAAATGCCTGTTGAGATCCATTGTCTATTTTTTAATGGTTTGTCTGTTTAAAATTGAGTTGTAATAGTTCTTTATATGTTCTGGATACAGGTCCCTTAACAGATACATGATTTTCAAATATTTCCTCCATTTCTCTGAGTCATATTTTACTTCTTTATGATGTCCTTTGAAAGAGAAAATTTGAATTTTGATGATGTCCAATTATTTTTTCTTTTGTTGTTGTATCTCAGAAATCATTGCCTGATCCAAGGTCATGAAGATTTATGCCTGTGTCTTCTTCTAAGACTGGCTTCTTAAATGTAGACTCTTCATATTGAAGACTTTGATCTGTTTGAATTAAGTTTTATGTATGATGTGAGATGGTGATCAGGCTTAATTCTTTTGCTTGTGGATTTCCAGTTATCCCAACAGATAATTGACTATTGATTAGAAAGATAGAAGAGGCTGGGGGAGTAGGAAGTACCTGAGATATGTCATGGTGGTGAAATGATTGCTGTATCTGTTAATATGTAACTTAATTGCCCTAACATCAGTTTTTAATTTGGAATACAAAAGGATTGATGGGAGAAATTATTCATATAAATCAATGATCTGGAAGGTTAAGTATGCATGCTGAGCCTCCAAATTTGTATTTACATAGGTAGTTGTTGATAAAGGATATGATTGTAGACCAAAATATACATTAGATTGCCTGGAAGGAAATTTTGTATAGTTGGCTGCTGAAGCTTTTGGAAATTTCTTACAGAGAAGTATGTAAATTATGACTATAAAAATGTTATCAAGAAAGCCAGTTGAAGCTAACTCAGCAGTGAAGCTAGGATGTGCAGAGAGGTTTTATGAAAAGAATACATGAATTGAATATTTAGATATTTATTAATATTTAAGAGTAAATAATTGTTTTGCAGTGATTTTAGGTGAAGATTAATGTACATACATAGAGTTTCACTGAGGAAATCATAACTCTACAGCAGTGGTTCTCAGTTGGGGTGATTTTGCACACTTGAGACATTTAGCAATGTCTGGGGACGTATTTGGATATCACTTCTCAGGGAGTGTTACTGGCAGCTGGTGGGTAGAGGCCAGGGTTACTTCTAGACATCTACAGTGCACAGGACAGCTCCTACAAGAAGCAGTTACTGTGCCCAAAATGTCAGTGATCCACACAAAAACTTTTATGTGAAGGTACTTAACAGTATAACTTATAATAGGCAAAAAGTGGAAATGACCCAAGTAGCCATCACCTGATAAATGGGTACATGGGGTTTTACCCACATTATAGACTATTATTCATCAATAAAAAGGAATGCTGATACTGATACATGCAACAACATGGATACACCTTGGAAACATCATACATCCTAAGTGCAAGAAGTCATTCACAGAAGACCACATGTTGTACAATTCCAGATTAGTGGTTACCTAGGGCTGGGACGGTTGGAAGGAAACAGGAGGTGATGGCTTAAGTGCATGGGGCTTTTTGGGTGATGAGAATGTTCTAAAATTATATCATGGTGATGGTTGCATTAGTCTGAATATACTAAAAACCACTGAATTGTACCATCAATGAGTAAATTGTGTAGTATGTGAATTAAGTCTCAAGGCTTTAAAAATATCATTCATGCCAAGGGTTAGAAATTGTGTGGCACAGGTCAACTGCCTACTGTCGTAGAATGTTATAGAGGGAAATTAAGGGTAAAGATAAAGTTTTGGGAGATACTCCTTTTATGGGGCCATTGAAGTAAAGGGAGTAAGAAAGATCATTCATAGAGAAGCAGAGAAGGTCAGTGGTAGAATCTTTGGGTTCAGCAATAGTAAGAACCAGGAAAAAGCAAAAGAGATTGAGCAGGGCAGTTCAGACAAGCAGAGGGAATAATCAGGCAAGGGAGTCTGGGAAGCAAAGATAGATGAGTGTTTCAAAAAATAAAGGTAGTAGACATGCTCTGTTACTGATAGGGAAGATGTAGATTGGGTATCAGGGCACAGATAGTCATGTGGAGATCTGTTTATTTGATTACCAGGTGGGCAGGGTATTGCA